TTACCTATTCTAGATACGTTTCTGCAAAACAGCATCAGAGAATGCCTCCCTGCCTTTTCCTTTTCCTGGTCAGGGTTAAGTCTCACAGCCATCTTCAGCATAGAGGCAAAATACGAGATTGCTGCTATTCTCATTCAAAAGTATTCCTGGGTTAAATGTGATTTCCTTTTTAAACAGTAATGAGCCATGATCTCTTCTCTATGTAGGGAGCTTGCCCTGGGACAGGCACAGCTTTGTTCTTGATTCTTATCAAGAAAGTTAGAGTAGATACTCCTATAAGGTACAGTTAGCCTGGCTTTAAGATTATAAACGATGTTAAATAGCAGTGCTGTGCTGTGAATGTAAGAGGTGTGTTTGCTAACTTTGCCATACTTCTGAGCATCTGCTTGCTCCCAGTGCTGTCCATCTCTGTGACTGTCTGTCTGCTCTCCTTCAGTGCTGTGTTCACCTGGACCAACCTGCTGGTGGTGGTGGTAGAGCTGGATGGTCTGGAGCAGGATGCTCTGGACCTAGTAGCGCTGGTGACCAATGTTGTGCTGGAGGAGCACTACCTTGTGGTCGGGGTGGTGGTCATCGTGGACCCTGGAGTGATCCCCATCAACTCTCGGGGTGAGAAGCAGCGCATGCACCTGCGTGATGGCTTCCTGGCTGACCAGCTGGACCCCATCTATGTGGCCTACAATATGTGAGTGTGGCTGCACAGAGCTGGGTGTGTGAGCCAGCAGAGGTGTGAGGCAAAGATGAGCTGCACTGTTGATGCCCCGGGAGAAGGGATTTCAGGCTTCCTCCATTCACCCCCCGTGTGTGCTGTTCAGATCCTCTCAACAGTGTCCTGACACGTCTGAACCAACTAAAGAAATGTTCTGGGTCCGCTGGGTATATTTACCAAAACATGGGTGCCTGGGAAGGGAAGGAAAGGCCTGGTGTCATGCTGTGGACATTACTGACATCACGGCTGTTTTCTGCTATGCTGCAAGCTTGCACTTTTTTAGGCTAAAAAGTATTCCTGATTTTTAAATATATAGTTTCCTGATTATTTATTCCCACTTGTAACAACAAGCTTATATGTAAACTCTATGCTGGAGAGGACTCTTGAGCCAAGCCTGCCTAGGAGGCTGATGAAAGAAGCAGTCCCACCCCCACCCATAGACTTCACCAGACACACAGCTTCCTTTTCTGGTTGATTATTGGAGCAGGTGTGCCTGTTTGTCTGTGTGTGTTGTCACTAATGCTCAGTAAGTGCCAGCTGGACTATCTAGTTAGATCTATTTCAGAAAGATAAACCAGCAGCATTTAACTTAAAATCACTTTCCTAGTGACATTTAAACTGAAAGTTCTCATAACATCGCAATATTAATTTTTCTCATGAAGTATACTGTATTATTCTCATGAGCAGGTCTGGAAGCATGAGTGACATCCTAAGGTCTTACCCATGTGCCAGCTAGGTCTCCTACACACTTGAGTTGCCATGGGAGCCTGGCTCTCAGCCACTGCAGCCTCTTGGCTTTGCATTTTAGTTATGTGCCTATAAAATTTGGCCAAACCATTTTTAGTTATTTTACCCAAACTTGAAATCCAAGTGATCTAATATTGTACTTAAGTCAGAAAAGAGAATGTAAAATCTTTTAGATACTTCTAAGAATTTGAAGTCAAGCATGAATCTAAGATTATTTTTATATGACTAATCAAAGATTAATGTTATCAAGTTGTTGGGGTTTAGGGACTTTGAAGGGTAGAGAAGTTTATGAATCATACCTTCTTCACAGAAACAGCTAGATTTTTCTAGAGTTGCTTGGACTTGTGCTTCAGTGAGCCCAGCTAACTGGCCCTCCTCTCACAGCTAACCCTCAGAAAGCACTGTGTGCAGGAGCCCTTTTCTCATTGTATCAAACTGTGCTGTAGTATGTGGAAACATACTGGAATCTTAATAACCCTGGTATAATTGTGTACAGAATCCATGTCAGTTATTTCTTGGCGTCAGAGGTTTAGCAAGACTGATGAAGGCTCACAATAGACGACTGAGAACAGACTACCTATCCATGGTCTCAACATTGTATGTAGTTTTATAGCAAACAGCGCTTGTCAACTTTTTGTATTAAAAAATCAGTGGCAGTAAGAACGTATCTGGTAAGTTAAGATTTTAAGAATTGTATTAAAATGTTTTAAAGTTACTCTCTGGGAATTCTGTATATCACACTAATTTTTATATCATGTTAATAAAAGCTATTGACTTTGTAATTCTGCATTTTGAAATGTGTGAAAGGGTTTTTAAAAATTTCTCCAACTAGGATGTCTTTTATTATGCATTATTTCTCTCAGAAATACAAAAACAATTATGCTTATCATATAAAATCTGGAAAACACATTAACGTGTAAGAAAGGAAATTTAAAATCTTCTACAGGCCTACTGATGAGTAATAGCAGTCTTAGTATTGCCTTGAATCTCAGGGCTTTTTTAACCTTTAAAAAAATATTTTTTTAACAAAATTAGGACCATATACTTATTTTACAATCCGCTCTTGTACTTAATAAATTGCAGACTTTTGACTGTCACATACATTCTGTACATGTCTTAATGACGACATTGTGTGGTGTGCATGCCTGCACACAGCACTTCCTGGCCTGTTGAACCAGCACCCCCCCCCCACCACCATTGTGCATTGAGTCACCTCCCTGATGCCTACTTTCATTTCCACAGTGGCATTCCCACCTAGCCTCTGTCCTGCTGGTAACACGGGTAGGTCAGAGTTTGTGGTGGGTGTGGTACCTGCATACCCATATCCCCACCCCCTCCAGTAGGGCCATGTGGGAGAGGTCATGGTCTGGCCTTAGCCACTCAGCAGTACTTACTAATTTCCCCTCTAACACCATCACTGTACTGGGGAATGGCCTCAGCTCACTCATCTCTCCTCCTGGGTTGTTTTTGACTGCCCAGGACTAGAGTTTTCTCCCTGAGCTGCTCCTGGCTCTACTCTGCCTCAAGCTGCTTGGAGAGGATCTTAGGACTCCTACAGAGATCTGGCTACCTTCAAGCATCTCCCTAGAGAGGGCCAGGCTGGAGAGTGCAGCTTCTCAGCAAGATTGACTCAGGTGCCTCTGTGAGTGTGGACCACAGTTCACCAGAGAGTAGAATCTCCCCAGCCCCAGCCCAGCAAATAAAAGTGTCATTTGCATGCAGGTGATAAATAGTATGGGAGCTTGCACTGGCATGGTGTTCATGCCCAACTCTAGTCACATAGGCAGTAGTCTCCTGGAAGGTTCTCGAAGAGAAAGCAGTTATGTCTGCCCTTCTGGAGGGAAGGTTTGGGAGGCAGGCCTGGCTAAGCAGATGTCCCTGACCATGTGGAAAGTGTAGTGTGAGGACAATACCATGTGGCTGGGATGAAAGGACATCAGGAGCCCTGTAGATAACTGCTGGTCTTTTGTCTTGGTGGTTCGGGTGCCCCAGAATACCTGCCATGTGCCCCTTGCAGTCCAGCTCAGTTCATTGCCAGTTGTCGGCTTCTGGTTTCCAATGCTGTCCTGTATCCCTCTACTCAGCATTCTCCACAGGTTCGTGTGTTAGAACACGGGGTCTCTAGGAGGTGAGGCTAACTAGAAGGAGTAGGTTTCTGGGGCATATTTTGGAACCTATACATAATCTCCTGTCCTTTCCACTCCCCTTCTGTCTGCCAGTTGGGAGCCCCTCCACCACACCCTTCCTTCTACAACAAAACCTTCAAAAGCATGAGCTAAATAAACCTTTATCCCTTTTTAATTATGCCAAACATTGTGTCGTAGTGGCAAGAAAGCTAACATATGGCCCAGCCAGTCCAGAAAATTGCCTGCAAGAGCCCCATGGTATCCTCTAGTCATGGAAAGTCTGATTCTGTGCAGCCTTTGAACATCCTAGAGCCTCCTGCAGCCCCAGCTTTGGGCTGTGCCTGAGGGATGGGGTGAGGTCTGGGAAGTCCCACTTTAGGGACTTTTAGTCTGTGTCCTGGTCTAGTGAGTACTTTATTTTTATCTCTTGTTCAGTGTTGGGAGATTTTTTTTTTAAAACAATGCTCTTGTTTTGTGCAAGTGCATTCATTGTTCAGTTGACTTAATGAATTTTTAAGTCTCTTCTCTTAAAACTAACTGCACCAAAAAGGGGGTGGGTAAGAATAATTAGAGTTTTCCTAGAATGGCTTTTTAACATTTATGATGTGATTTTTATTTATTTGTAACTTGAATTATTTGAACCTTCATTATTTGAATATATAGTTTAAAAATTGTTAAGTTCAGCTTCCCACCATTGACTCTCAGCCTCACCAAGTGATAAGAAGGCCCTAGGCACAGCAGGTCATAAGTGACTTCCAGCCACTGAAGGGCATATCTGAGGGGCCCTTCATTCCCCCACCAACTCACCCTACAGACTTCAACCTTGTGGTCACTTGCTTTATAGACTGCAGAGATACAGCTAGCTAGAAAGATGAGGTTTTTTGGGGGGAGGTCACTAGCTCTCTCTCTGTCTCTCTCTCTCTCTGTCTCTCTCTCTCTTTCACACATACACACACACACACACACACACACACACACACACACACACACACCGACATGGAGACTCATTAATTATGAAGCCTCAGCCGATAGCTTAGGCTTGTTCTTACCTAGTTTTTATAACTTTTGATTTATGTTCTTATATGTGGCTTTGTTACCTTTTCTCTGTACTCCCCATCCTGCTTTCTCTGCCATCTGCCTGATGACTCCTGCCTTCTTCTTCCCAGTATCCTCTCTGCCCAGAAAATCCTGTCTAGCTGTTGGCTATCAGCGTTTTATTTAACCCATCAGAGCAATGCATCTTCAGAGTGCACAAAAAGAGTATTCCACAACATTATGCTGTGGCCCTTCTCTTCTCCTGTACATGTCCTACAGGAACAACAGTGCCATCCTAAAAGAAGTCTATTGAATAGAGTTTCAATTCTCAGTCCTGAGTTAGGACATTAACACTTAGTTTGGAAGAACCATTTTTTCCCCAGTTAGAATTGTTGGCGTTAAATATTTATTTAGTAAGGGCTGCTCACTGGAAGCAGAGACTTAAGTGCCCCTGCACATTTGGGCTGGGGGGGGGGGAGGGTGTTGTAATCAGACTGTCTGCTTTCTTGGGCATATTTGTACCAACAGTGTAAGGAAGATGTAAGGAAAAGCAGCCTCTGCCTGTGACAGTGGATGCAGCTGTGGATTTGGGGGTCTGTTGGAAGCATAAAGAACGCTATCCTATAGAACTGCTTGCTATTGGTGGTCTGCTGTGATTCTTCTGGGTCATGTATCTGCAGGGTCATGGTGGTTTACCGCATATGCTGTACTGCTGAGCATTGATTTTCTTCCCTAAGTGATTCTTAACCAATGTTTCCTGGGGCCAGACAGCTCGCAGGAATGCCTAATGTAGCAGAAATAATGATGCACTAATTTACAGCAGCCCTTGGGGAGGCTTTCAGTTTCTCATACCCAAAGCAAATCAAGCTTCCTAATTAGTTGTTCTATGTGGCTGGAGAGCACAGCTCCTTCAAGCCTGCAAGCCTTCATGTCTGCCACAGGTAAGCTTGGCTCTTTTGCTTTGTTTTGTTTTTTGTCTCACTCATGTTCAAAGAACTCATGGCAGGCTGTAGTCACCATGGAGACGAAGGCCATAAATTCCTGGAAGTCACACTCTCCATCTCCATCTTCATCCAGTGTTTCCATGACTTTGTCCACAACTTCCTGCTCTTTGATTTCCTGAGAGAAAGAGAGAGAGAGAGTTGATAAAGTCCTTTTTAGATGGGATACAGGGCTCTCAGGATGTTATTAAAAGTACTAGGCTGATAATTTTCATCAGAAAAAAAAAAAAACCCAATATAGGAAATGAAAAATTCTAGGAGTCCTCTGTGAGTGAGGGACATTCACCACAGGGAAATGGGGTGGAGTCTGTGCCTCTTCCTTTTCCCATTGGTCTTGGTGGACCTGGGTTACTTTAAAATAGGAAAACAAGAAGTAACAAAACTACACCTGGAATATGTGTGAAGCCCATTTCAACCTGAGTCAGTAACTTAAAGAAATGAACTCAAGGGGACTAGAGAGATGGCTCAGTGGTTAAGAACACTAGCTGGTCTTTCAGAGGTCCTGAGTTCAATTCCAGTAACCACATGCGCCTCACAGCTATCTGTAATGAGATCTGGTGCCCTCTTCTGGTATGCAACCATACATGGAGACAGGGCACTGTACACCTAATAAATAGATCTTTAAAAAAAAATGAACCCAGTGCTCAAGAGCATGCCTGTGTTTAGGAGCCATGTGGATTTTAACAGTCTCTAAAATAACACTTGAGAATGTGTCAGAGCTGCTATTTGTTCTGTTCTTTTGCTTCTTGGGTTATTTCCTAGATGTCGGTAGGCTTTTTCCTGACAGTTCTGACGCCAAAGCCTGATGAATGATAAGTCTACCACTAACTGACGCACCAACCAGAACAATGGTCAGGCTACCAATATATCAAGTGTGCAGGCCTGAAGACAGGTGGGAAGGAGGCAGAATCTGAGCACTGAAGAGTTCAGTTCTGACCATTTCAGTTAACAACTCCCCCGACTCCCTCCCCAACAGGAGAGCTCTGTGGAGAGGTCACACGTGCTTCCCTAAATACAATAGGTTGGGGTGTGAAAGATGGTGATTCCGAGGGGCTCATGTGGACTTTTAAATATCTTCCAAAATATAGATGGCACAGTGTAGGTCTTTCGGGTTACACCACAGAGGCTGTGATTTTGATCCTACATGTCCTCCAGAGGCTCCTGTGCAGGAGGCTTGGTGCCCACTACGGGCACCACTGGGAGGTGGTAGAACCTGTGAGAGGAAGTGAGGTCACTGGGCCATGCCTTTCCTTCCTTTGTTCCCTCCACTGGGCAAGCAGCTTTGCTCCTCACCGCGATGGTTGACCTCACCAAAGGCCCTCAAACAGTGGAGCCTGACAACCATGGGCTGGAACCATGAGCCGAACAAACCTTCGCTCCTTTGGGTTGATTTTTCTCTAGTGCTTTTGTTAAACCAGGCCAGCAAACATGTATGACACCTCGATATTGTAACATGAGCTGTCGTTAATAAACGTGACATCACACGCTCATTGTTTCCTGTTCTAAAATCATGGTGGTAGTGAGTATTTTAAGCTACTACCGATAGAGCTTTCATTCTATATGAAGAGCCAGACATGCCCATCTCACCACTGTGTACTCCCCTTTCAAGTCGAAGAGGTAAGACTCAGGTTAAGTTGAAAGGTAGAATGGGTGGGACTATAACTGTCTACTCCCCCCCCCCCAGGGATCTGAATGCCTGAGAAATTAGTTCCCCAAAGCAGATTTGGAGACTTCTCCAGGAAGCCAGTGGTGCTGCTGCTGTCTCCATGGTGGTGAAGTAATTGGCTGAACAACAGGAAGGAAAACTTCACCAGACATCCAGCCACTAAGTATCAACATGTACCCAGTTAACTTAGGATGTGGTTTCCTGTTACCATGTGACAGGACTGTGCCCTATAGTTATACCCAGGCTTGGCACTTGATCAAACACTGATTAGTTTTCCTCTGAATGTGGGGTTTGCTACTTCCATGACCCAGGAAGCTTCCTGTGGCAGGACACATTGTATATCTCCGGTATTTCCATCCTATTCAATGTGTGCCATGAGCCAGCCTTTGTTTAGGGGGCCAAGGGGGCATCGGGTGGCAGATGGATTACAGCTCACTCCCATGGGAGCACTTGGTTTATGGGTGGTGGAAACGCTAGCACCTGATTCAAGGGCAGAGGAGAGAGTGGAAAGTGAGTGTTTTCGCCACCAGAATGTTAAGGACCACAGAAGAACAGGGCTTGCCAGGAGCCCTTTCTCAGGGTCCTAAGTGGACTCCCAACTAAACTTGTACCTGGTCAACGTCATATATTCTGGGGAGAACTCTCTTTCCCTCAGTCAAGTGTTCACTCATAGATATGCTAGGTTGGGTCCTGTCTCTCAAGTGTTGAATTACTGAGTGGTCAGGAAATGTTTATTTAATGTCTGACATTTCTGACCTCTGTAGTCAACACCAGACAGCTGGACAAAGCCAAAAGATTTCTTTTTCCCCAAAACATCTCATTCTTGAAAAAGAAAAATTTTGTGTGTGTGTGTGTGTGTGTGTGTGTGTGTGTGTTGTACATGCATACATACTCTCATGCCATGGCATACATGTGGTGTTGGTTCTCTCCTTCTAAACCATTTCCCTGGCCCTGTTTTGTTTTTGTGAGGAGAGATGCTTTCCCTGTATAGCCCAGGCTGGTCTCCTGCTTTCACCCTAGGATTATAGATGTGTGCCACCATGACCAGCTGACATTCTTAAGTGTTAGTTCTAAGTGGTTTATTATCCCATTCTGCCATCATCCGTGGGTCCTTAGATTCAAGGGACAGAATCAGCCCATCTAAGCTTATACGTGGAGGGCTTAGAGTTTGAACAGCTTCCAGAAGCAACCTAGGGCATCCAGAGACAGAAACAGACAGAAGCAACCCAGGGAACCATTTCTAGTGCCGATCAACGATGCTTTTGTAAACTTACCTCCAGGAAGTGGGAGAGCTCATTGTTGATGAGCTCCTTGAGTTCTGATTTCTTCAGCTTGTGCTTGTCACCCTCTCGTCCTGAATACTGATGGAAGATATCAATGAGGGCAACCATGGCCTTCTCCAGCTCAGACATCCTGGAGGCTGCAGAAAAAAGACACTTTTTCAGTTTCTGCCCTGTTCTTTGAACAGTTTAATGCCTCAGCCCACATGAGGGGAAGAGAGGCACCCTGTGACTCCACACTGACCACAGCTTATCCTTTGCCTTCTCGGCCCACCACCTCCCTTCTATGTCCCTGTGGGCCACAGGGTTAAGTTTCTGAGTTGATTGGCTTCTGGTTGGATTTAGTCAATGAGAAACTATTGTGGGTGTGGATATAGAGCACTAGGGGACCATTCCGGCTTTCCCCCGTGGCCACCCCCCAGTCCTGAAGGTCTTGAGGATGTAGCATCAGCTGGTGGATTTAAGGAGGACAGACACTGAGATGAATAGTGGCTATTGAATATATATATATGTATGTATGTGTGTGTGTGTGTGTGTGTGTGTGTGTGTGTGTGTGTGTGTGTATCAACATCAGAGAACAATTTTTAAATTCAGTAAACAGCATCCTCGGGTTAGGAAGAAAAATGCAGATGCTTCCAAAAGATTCTGAGGAACAAGAACAGGAGCGACCTGGCTGGTTTTCTATCAATTTGAACCAAGCCAAAGAAAAGTCCTGTCTCAGAGAAGCGAGCCTCTATTAAGACAATGCGGCCTTAAGAGCCAGCTGTAGGGCATTTCCTTAATTAGTGATTGATGGGGGAGGGTCCAGCCCATTGTGGGTGGTTCCATCCCTAGGCTGGTGGTCCTGGGTTCTATAAGAAAGCAGGCTGAACAAAGCCAGTATGCAGCACCCCTCTATGGCCTCTGCATCAGCTCCTGCCTACAGATTCCTGCCTGGCTTGAGTTCCTGTCTCCACCTCCTGTAACAATGAACTGTGGTACAGAAGCTGAATAAATAAAAGCTTTGCTCCCCATGGTCATGGTGTTTTATCACAGCAATAGAACCCCTAACTAACAAGGAGCTTATTTTCATTTAAATTAATATACAAATTTAAGCTGTTTAAATAAAAAAATGAGTTAGATTTTTTTCTTTCTTTTTTTGTTTGTTTGTTTTTGTTTTTGGATAGGTGACAAATGTAAAAACTGTAAAACTCATCTGGAAAATAAGGGTAACACTGCACCAACTTTTTGAAAAATCGCAATGAAGATCTTCCAGAAACATCTGATTCTGCTGGTGTCTTGACACAGGGAGACCAAGGCACAGCCAGGCGTTCCATGCTGGCCGAGTATTCATCAGCCTGGCCTCACACAGTGGTGTCTTTGTGAGCAGAAATGCCAGTGAGAAGCAGCCTTCTTCACAGCAGCACAGCCAGGGCCTGAAGAGGGGATGCAGGGAGGGCTGCTCCAAGCAACTCAGTTAACAAAGGCGGCTGAAGGCTCCATTCAGAAAACAGCCACTTAGGCAGAGACATGTGACAGCTCCTGGCCTTGAGTTCTGATCCTTAAATCAGAACCTGCACTGTCATAATTAAAAATAAGCAACAAAAAATGCTTGAAAACTCATTCCCATGTTGAGTATGTTGCATCTTAGAATAGACTAGAACAAAATTTTAATAACATTTAAGATTTTTTATTAATGATTTCCCAAAGGAAACAGACTGAAGGTTTTTGTTTGTTTCCCTTCTTTTTTTCTTTTCCCTTACTTACTCTCTGGCTTGCTGAAGTTCTACAAAGTAAAGGAACTTTGTTTTGCTCATATATTCCAAAGGCACCTGAAGGGCCTCAGCTGGACTAAAATGAAATATTTTATTCTCTCTTAGTTTCTTCACTTTTTTCAGTTATGGTGTTTTAGTTACAAACAAAAGCTATGTATGGGTGGTCTGCCTGCACGTATGTCTCAAAGGTGTGAAGCCTGGTGCCTGCAGGGGGCAGAAGAGGGTATCCTATCCTCTGGGACTAGAATTCCAGGCACTGTGAGCTACATGTGGATGTTGGGCCAGCCCCAGTTACCTTTTTTTTTTTTTTTTTTTTAATGAAAGAAAATTAGTTTAGTGCCCTGTAAAGAATAGTGGAGAGGACAGTAATAGAATTGCTTGCTTTTAAGATTAAGGTTTCACTGACCCCACCCCCTGGCTCTCCTCTAAGCCACAATCTTCTTGCCTCTCTGCTCCCTAACTGTTGGTCCTTACCCAGCAGTTATTGATTAAAAAAAAAAAAAAAAATCTCGAGAAATGCTATATCATGCCTGACACTACTCAAAGTCCTGGCCGGGGGTGGGAAGGGTTGAAGGGTCTTTTTGTGGCATGGGGACTAGGACTTAAAAGAAAAGGTGTGACACGTATCCCACATGTTAGAAAACTCCCAGAAATTTGACTGTTTTCATAACCACATTACAAGTTCAAATTTCCCTGATTCTTCCTTTCGTCTAAAGAAACATTGGCTTGTAGTGTATCTTCTAAGACAAATGGAAGCATTTGTATGTAAACATTATGCATTAGTTTTTTGTGAAGAAAGCACAGGACTCGAGCTTCTGAGAAAGATGCTGCCTGTAAGGTGAGAGGTCCTCACAGAGGCCCCAGGGGGATATAATGGAAATCAGAATCGAATCCATTTCTAACCCCGTTTCTTTATCCCAATTCATAATTATCTCAAAAAAAATTCAACTTTTGCAGTTTTTTTTTTTTTTTTTTTTTTTTTTTTTTTTTTTGTGGTGTCTGGGGATGGAGGAGCTTGGCATTTCAAATAGAGAAACTAGAAATGCCACCGCATGCTTCATGGCCACAGGGGTAGCTGGGGAGGGGTGAAGGGGGCTGCTGCCAGGAAGGGACAGCCCTAGGTGAGGATTGGGGGTAACTAATGGTGCACCAGGAAGGACAAACCTTCCCTCCCGAGTTAGAAAAGAAGCACTGTACATGCCACTTCTGAAAATGTCGGTAGTCATTCTGGGTCATTCAGAAGGACCTAAGGTTCTCCCTGGCATGATGAAAATAAAACCCGAGACAATGTCAATGTCAACAGCAGTCACAAGAAAACAGGAAAGTCAGGCTTAAATCACAGAATGTCATCGGCAGTTCTGAAATGCTGCCAGATGTCCCCAAAGCCCACCTCCCCCCCACTTTAAAGCTCAGTTTCCATGCTCTCCCCTCCACCCCTCACCCTCCAAGGAAAGAAGAGAGAGAGTGCTGTTTCTTGGTCCTCTGCCAGCGGCTGTTTCTCACCTCCTGGTCACCTTGTGCTGCTGGTGTCCTCTCTGACTTCAGTGTCCAAGTGGCAGGAGTGTGGACAGAGCAGCTTCTTATTCCTCCTCCAGAGAGGACTGGGTGTTGGCTTGGCGCAGTCCACTGCAGGCTGAGGCTGCCAATGGGGGCCAAGGGTAGGGAGGTGCTGGACAGCCAGGCCTGCACAAGGGCCCCATTGACTGCGTACCCTGGGGATTCGCTGGGCAGCTACAACTGGGTATGATCTAGAAGAAAATGGGCCTGGAGGGCAGGAAGTGCAGAGTCAGCTTTTTTTTGTGCCTTTTAAAAGTATTATTTCATGAATATTGATGTGACTCCAAAGGCAAAGATGGGGTGTGGAAAGAGGAGTAAGATGTGGATGAATTGATTTTTCTTTTAGAAAAAAAAAAAAAAAAGCAGAAATGCAGCCAACAACTAGAAGCTTCTAGTGCTGGACTCAGGAGACTATGGCCATGGCTGGCTTCCAAGGAGGCTTGAGCATCTTGCCTGCCTGCCAGCTTCCTGGCCCCCTCCCACAGGTGTGACCCCAGGTGGATGTTAGTGCTGGACATCAATTATTATACCTGGGCTCCTCTGAGCCCAGTGTATTCAAGGACCAGCATGCAGTAAATCAGTAACTGTTGCACCTTGGGGAAAATCCTTGTTAAGGGTGAAGACTTGCCAGGTCTGTCTTGGATCTCTCTCTTTACCCACACAGCAAAGAGTCATGCCAGTCAACAGACTATTGAGAACTGACTCATGTTCCGTCTGTGGCATTCGGGGACAGTTGGGAGTTAGTGATGAAGGTTCAGATTCCACTTTGTTTTGCAACCTGTCTGGATGTCAAAAGAACCCAGGTAGCCTCTGAGTAGTGAAGTTATACTGACCTGAGGAATGGGGGTGGGGGTTGACTCTCAGGCACCCAGACTACAGGATCCAGGGCTGTCATGTTGAAAAAGGGACTTTTCCTGCAGGGCCAGCATTTGTCTATCCAGGTGACTTGGGTCAGTAGGCAGCCTTCTTTGGCTATTCAGAACCTCTGCCACCTTTGGCACCATCATTTCCGGTTTCTCTCCCTTCTGCTCCTACCTCCTACACATTCAGAGAGCCACTGGCTCTGAGCAGCTGGAGGAAGAGGTTGCCCTTGCTTGGTATTTGCAGGAGGAAAGGCAGCATTGTTTCTCATACAAAGGACCCCCAGCCAAGCTGCTCATGAGGCTGGTTACAATGCCCAGTGACCATGGAGGAGAATGAGGATCTGTGTTCTGGAGGAAGTAAGTGAAAAGACAAAAAGCTCCTGTGTGCAGAGCAGTCAACACAAGAATCAACTGCCTTCCTACCCAGCAGGATGCCACTGCCCAGCCTGTGAGCCACAGCATCTCCAAGCTGGGCTCAAAATTCTCATGCCACCATTTTGGTCTGCTTTTAGTAGTACTTTACACATGCACATGTAGTGGTACAAACATATGTGTAATATGAACTACCTGGTACACTCCATCGTTGATGGTCATTAATATTATGCAAGTTAATGTTCATGTCTGTCAGAAGAACCTGGGACTTCGTTCCAGAACCAAGTGAACTCCGCAGTCAGAGAAAGCAAAGAGCTACAAATAATGGCATCCTGTGGCAGAGACACTAGGCTCCATCATGCAAGCCAAATCATCGGCCCAATTTGAGCATCTTGAGTCCAGGAATCCTCCTGTTTGGCAAATTGTTGTAGAATGCAAGTATTTCACATGTATCACATTTTATTATTTTGTACCCCACCAAATTCCAGCCAAATATTTGTTTTCATTAGGAAGTCAGTAAAAACCTTCCAGAAGAATGAGCCCAGTGAGGAGCTTGGAGCAGAAAGCAGGACCCTGCTATTTCTTTGCTTTGGATCCACAGATCCAGGGAAACAAAAGGACCCAGTACAAAAACAACAGGATTATTGTTTTTGTGTTTGCGTTTGAACCTTCTAAGTTTTGGGGAAAGATGGAGGTGGGAGTGTGAGGCACATCCATGTGAAGCTGCCTTGTCATGCGTGGTGCTCCAAAAGTTTCTCAAAATGGGAGAGGAATATTTCAGCCAGTGCTGGAAAACTGTGCTCTGCCTTCGTGCAACTCTCCTGCAAGCACTTATTTTAATTCTACTTTTAAAGAATATGGGTGATCCATCAAATTATGGCAAGTTGAAGGTTGAGAAACTCAGGCTCATCTATCTTTTTTTTTTAAACTCAGTAAGCAACATTTTTCACTCAATATTGTGACTTTGTTTCCCCCCCACCCCATTAGGATGCTGTGAGCCAGAACATCACACACAGCATTTAGCTACATCCTTCCAAATGAACAATTGATTGCTAGACCTATGAAAATTGAGATTAATCTTGTTAATGGGAATCTTGAAAATGGGAATAAGTTAACTTATTTTAGAGGTTAAAATACAAAATAATTAGAATCTAAAATTGCAATTGACTGTTAATATAAACAAAAAATGAGAAAAATACTCAAAGTTATAGGAAGGATAAACTATTTCTTGAAATTAAAATTTAAAGTAGCCAGCTGGGTATAGTGGTATATGCTTTTAATCCCAGCACTTGGGAGTCAGAGGCAGGCAGATCTCTGAGTTCAAGGCCAGCCTGGTCTATAAAGTGAGTTCTAGGCCAGCCAGAGCTACTTAGTGAGACCTGTCTCCAAAAAATAAGAAAATAAAATGTAAAGGAATAAAATTGGATATGTTGATATACTTCGTGATGTGTTAACATGCATAACATTTAGAACTATTATTATGCTTCTGAATGTTATCTTATGTAATATTTTAGAACCTGGATTAGCACACATTAAGTACATACAATGGGCTTCATTGTGACATTTTGTTCATGCACATTATGTATTTTGATTATATTCATATAATATTTATTAAGTCAGTTATTTAGCTAATGTGATCTTTACCTGTTGAAGCCGTTTTTTCAAGATTCCTTGAGCAGGATTTTTGCAACAAGTTTCTGAATTCAGCCCATGCGTGGTCCCTGGCTTGGCTGGCACTGTTCCCCATTGGAGGGCCTGAAACTCTGCCCCCAGTACTACCCACCTGCTTCCTGTATGTGCAGGATTTCCTCCAGATGGGCCACTGCACACAAAGAAAGTCCAAGATAGTATTTATGTAACCAGAGCAGCCTCTTGGGATCAGAGTCAGATGCCTGTTGACTCTCCCAGAGGCCACCTGCTGCCCTAATAACAACAAAGTTCACATGCTTGATTAGCCCTTGTATCAATAGCTTTACTTTCAGTCAGTGTGCTGGGTCATAGGTGGTGTGTGTGTGTGTGTGTGTGTGTGTGTGTGTGTGTGTGTGTGTGTGTCCTGTCACTAGGCAGTGCAATAGGGATACAAGTCAGGTCACTGAACCCAGTAAGGAGCCAGATGTCTTTAGAGGCAGATTGCAAGGTATCAGTGACCCTCCCCTCCCCTCCCCCACCAACCTTTGGCATAGTGACATATATGCACCAGTATTCGCACCTAGCATGATGACTACCTGTATACCCCAGGCAGGGAACTCCTGGAGGGACCATGTGGCTAGCAGTCAGGCCTGACTGCTCCAGTGGTCATAGAGCTGATCAAGAGTTCAGAGCTCTATGTCCAAAAAGTAGAAATGTCTGATATGCACCAGGGAACTTGAGGTTCAGAGGCAGATTGCTTATTTGTATCATTGGTAAGTGTCAAAGCTAAGGTGTGAGCTTTGGGCTTCCTGTAGAGTCCACGTTCCCACTGTGGTGTGATGCTGCCTCTGCACACTGCAGCTGGCTGGGATATGGCACTCCCTTCTGGCCTCAGCAGGCATTGCATTCATGTGGTTCAATGGCATACATTTGGGCAAAATAGCCATACATACAAAAACCGTAATCATTTTTAATTAATGATTTACACACAGTCAAGCTTATGGAGACATTTTTTTTTCAATTGCAGATGACTGTTTTGTCTCAGAAAAATCTCACACCAACACATTACTGTCAAACCATAACCCTTCCTTTTTTGTTTATCCCCACAATCTCATATTAATATCACAATATAAGACATAACTTTAAAAGTTTAACATTTTTTTCAACACACTTTTAAGTCCAAGTTCTCTTTAAAAACCCAATGTCTTTTTTTTTTTTTTAAGTCCAAAGTCTCTCAACTGTGGGCTCTTGTAAAATAAAAGACAAGTTAAATATTTCCTTCAAGAAGGAAGAACCAGGGTGCAGTCACAATTAAACCAAAGCAAAACTAAAACTCAACAGTATAAAGAATTCAGTGCTTGGTGTCTGGGACCTCATAGCTAGTTTCCACTCTACGGCTACTGCTGGCCTGAGTAGTCATCCTATGGTACTGGTGTCTCCAACATGCTAAGGTCCCCTGCAACTGAGGCTGAACCCTTACCATTGATCTTTCCTGGCCTCTCTTCAGGACCAAAAGGCCTGACAGTGCCAAGCCTCAGCTGCTTTCTATGATCTCTTCATGCCTTCAAAACCAGCACCACCTGAGTAACCATTATACATTACCAAGTTCTGATATAAAGCATGAGATGTAGCCTTACCCACCCTGGACCACAGCTTGTGTGTGCAGACCCTGAGGAAATATCACCAGAAGATTTCACTTCAATGATGTTGGTCTCTTAATTACTGCTGATTTCTCAACTCCAGCTGACCACATCAATTGTGCCAGCAAAGGTTTCACTATAGTGGATCTGGTCTTTGTTAATTCCATCTGATTCTTCAACTCTAGTATTCAAACACTACAGATTCTTTATATACAATTCTTTAACTCATTTCCACTTTTATTTTTGAGATTGTGACATAATTAATTTCTCCCTTCCCTTTCCTCCTTCCAAACTCTCCCATATGCCCTTCCCATCTCTCCTTTAAATTCATGGCCTCTTTTTTTTTTTTTTAACTGTATTGCTTGCATGTATGTATATACATATATATTCTAAATATAACTTACACAGTCCCTATAATGTTATTTGTATATTTTCAGGGCTGATCATTTGATGCTAGACAACTAATTTGTGTGCTCTTCTTTGAGGAAAACCACCTCGTCCACTCCTAGCTTTCCTCAGTTGCCTATAGTTCTTTAGGGTTGTGGTACCTTGGGCTTTTCCCCATCCTCTATGGCATGTCCATTGGTTTCATCATTGTTCAGCTCA